CAAAGGTAAAATTGAACTTAATGACATATGGACTCCACTCATAAAAACTTTACCATGAATAATCTATTTTAGTTTAGTTCTTTTTTTTAAATAGATGTCTTCAATCTTGAAATTAGTGGAGTTATTGTCGTGTTATATGTTAGTCTCTTTAATCAAGTTATTGTCATGTTATGTGCTAGTCTCTTGAACAAAGTTATTGTCGTGTTATATGTTAGTCTCTTTAATCAAGTTATTGTCATGTTATATGGTAGTCTCTTGAACAAAGTTATTGTCATGTTATGTGCTAGTCTCTTGAACAAAGTTATTGTCACGTTATGTGCTAGTCTCTTTAATAAAGTTATTGTCATGTTACGTGTTAATCTCTTGAGTAAAGTTATTGTCATATAACATGCTAGTCTCTTTAATAAAGTTACTGTCATGTTATGTGCTAGTCTCTTGAACAAAATATTTTGTCATGTTATGTGCTAGTCTCATTAATAAAGTTATTGTTGTGTTACGTATTAGTCTCTTGAAAAATATTATTGTCATGTTACGTGCTAGTCTCTTGAACAAAGTTATTGTCATGTTACGTGCTAGTATCTTGACTAAAGTTATTGTCATGTTATGTGCTAGTCTCTTGAGTAAAGTTATTGTCATATTACATGCTAGTCTCTTTAATAAGTTATTGTCATGTTATGTGCTAGTCTCTTGAGTAAAGTTATTGTCATGTTATGTGCTAGTCTCTTGAACAAAGTTATTGTCATATAACATGCTAGTCTCTTTAATAAAGTTATTGTCATGTTATGTGCTAGTCTCTTTAATAAATATAACTCATGCTATCTCACTTTATCTTAAGAATTTAATCTTAACAGACTAACTATCAGTCACTCCATTAAAGTCAGAATCTGAAATTTTAAGAAAAAGCTTATGAAGGAAATAAAAAACAAGACAGAAGTAAAAAGTTCCATCTTATGTAAAAGTATACATGTTAAATCATAAATGTAGTAAAATCAATAAAAACCACGAAAAGAAGGTTGGAAACACTTTTTTCTCCTTGAAGTAAATTATTCTTAAAAATCAAAATTATTTTTCCAGACTATTTCATTTGCCCTCTAGTAATTTTATTCCAAAACAAAAGTACTTTTCTAATTAACTGATGAAAAAATTATTGGAACAATCACCAGCATAAAAATATATTAATAATACAGTTATTGTCTGGTTTTCTTACTGGAAAAGATAACTGTTTAAAGTTATGATTTGATTGTATAGTAACCTATTTATTTTATGCACCTTTTACATAAAACAATCTTTATGACTAGGCTTTGAGTGTATGACCTACAAACTTTTATTTAACAATATACAGATAAGATGTTCATGTAAAATGAGTTGAACAACAGTAAAATTATAAATATGCTTTCGCTGAAAAACTGTTTTCCTCATGCTTGGTAATAATTCTCAATCTCCATGCTCTGCTCCTTCTATTCACCTAGTACTAATATAATTTTTCCCTACCAAAACAGCAGTAAACAGCTATAAAGAGATTATGAGAAAGTGCAAGAAAATAAAGGTGATGATGACATGTTTTTAACATTACATTTTACTGTATATAAATGATACTAAAAGAAAATTACACAGAGAAAGTTAGTTAATATTCTCATCACTAAAGTATCAAACTTTAAGATGGGTTCAATCTCAGCAAGTTAATTAATTTAACCACTCCAAGCAGTTTAATAACTTTCCAAAATAACAAACCTAATATCTGCAAATTTTTGTATAAACTAATTCATAAAAAAGCATGTAAATATACAAACTATAACAGACACTTCACTGATAATACAAATGCTAACAGTAGGGTAGTACAATTGTTAAGATGATACTCAGTGATTAATTACCAACTAACCAATCAGTGTGTGTCACACCAGCTATGTATTTGTATGCTTTCGCTATGATTAGGACTTCTATTTTTCAATGTTTATTTTTGTTTAAAACTAGTAGTTTGTTTTTTGGTTTTCATTTTTAGTTTTATGGAGGTACCTTAAAAATGGTGTTATTTTGGAATTTTCACTTTAATACTGCAATGAATATACTAATATACCATATATTCTCCCACACTAGTTTCTCTTATGAGAGTAGTAACAGCTACAAAACATAGTTATACTCACATTAAAGCTTTGTAAGAGCAGCTAATGTCTGATATGTAATTATAAAAACAAATTAAATTATCACTAATGGATGTAAGATGTTCCTTTTCCTTCAGAGTAATATTCCAAGACAATGTAATCATAAAAGTAGCTACAGCTTGTATGTTCATTAAAGTGGATAACCATTTATGGTGTTTAATGGAAAAACAGGTTTCATTATTATTGTATTTGGGATGTTTTATCAGTAGACTTAACTATGATTGAGCCTACTGTAAGTGTGAAAACATAATTAGGCTTCTATACTCACATTAAACGATGCTTTTCCTTGAGTTATAGTATATTTCCATATTTATTTCCACTACTGTATATCAACATCTACTATACTTACTAATAGTTCTTCTGTAACCTTGACAAATTCACAATGAAGAAATCCTCCAAGTGTTTCCGCAGCTGTTTCTCGAACCTACAAGAAAATAAATGTTTTTTTATATTATTATTAAGACCTTGGTATATTTACCTTATTACATATCCATATGTATTTGCTTACTGTTTAAACATAAATTTTGAATACAACATGTAAAATAACAAGATTATGGATTTAATTCAAAAACACAATGAAGAAGTATCAGAAACACACACACACACACACACACACACTACTTCCCTACATAATGTCTGTGCTGAAACTAAATGTGAATGCCATAAAAGTAAACTGATTATTAGAATATGGTGTTAGGCCACTATACAACTGACAACAAAACTTTAACCCCTTCACTACCATGGGTACATTCAAGTCTCCCTCTAGAACACTGACATGTGAGTTTGGACTTTTGAACCACCATATGGAATGGGTACTTCCCTTCAAACTTAAAGTTTACCAGTTTGAATATGTAATAAGGTATTAAAACGTGTCTCTATTTCTTATTTTGTATCTAATAATAAAGCTAGTACCAGGACAGCTGTTTATCTGTAAATATATAAGTGAAAAAGTTAATTAAACCTAAACCTAATCAGAGTTCATACATCCAGAAATGTACATCAAAATTTGTTTCCCTACAATTTTTAAACAATCCTGATGAAGTAAGTAACCAAGCAGGAATGTCACATTGAGTAGGCAACTAAACCAAGATATTAATTACTGATCTCATGAAAACAATATACTAATTATTCCATGATCAAAAGGTAAAAACAATAGGAACAGTACATACCAACACATACTTTAGAACAGATATATGTAATAACTGCATATTAGGGTTTTGATTTGTTGGCAAAAAGGCTCTTTAATTCAGTACTATAACTAAGTAGTTTTCAAACTTTATGAAGCCTATTTCATTCCTTCTACCACAGAACCCCAACCATTAACCCACCCTTAAAACCTGGTCTAGATGAAAGTGACCAACTTCCCAAAATGAAAATATTTTAACAACATTTGTTAGAAGTCATGTCTTTTTCCTCTCTTATCATACGTACATATATATATTACACACACACACACATATAGGCAAATTTATATGTGCAAGAACATTTTTCTTGCTTGTGTATGTAACTGTAGGGAGAAGAACGAGTATAAAATGACTCATGATTTTTAAAAACACATTTCATCTCTGACAGGTCAACACTCAATAATAAAATAAACCAAGTT